TTTTTAAAATATCAAATTGAATTTTTGTTCAATAAAAATCTTTCAAATGCGACTGTATCTTTTTTTCCCCTAAACTCTGTCTTCAAAATAAGGGTGCATCTTATATTCCCGAAAAATACAGTATAAAAAAATAAATATGCAACCTCGTTTGCATCATAAACATTACACATCCTACCAAAAAACATATAATAAAAAGTAGACAGACTTGTAGTATTACATCATAAGCAGCAGCTAAAAGTTAATAAAAGTCTGGATGACATCATATATTTATAAAGTTTTCTTCATTACCCAGTCAAGCTGTCTCCAAAGTTATATTTTCTAAAAAGTGGGTTCCTCATCATTAAATTTGTATTCAAATGTAAGCAGCACATATATTACAACAAAAACAATATACGAATAAACATCTTAACAGTTATATAACATAAACAGCAAGCATTCGATAAACAGAATGTTTTGTATGCACATATTACATACTTTACTCTCCTATAAAGTATATTCCATATCCACACAAAATGTTTCCATTTTTCTAAGTTTAACTAGTAGAACGTTAAATTTGGTTGCTAAATTCATCCTGAGGTGTTACATTTTATAGCTTGTCCAGTCAAAGAATACACATACTGTTTCATTGGATAATTGCATTGTATTCTGTTTTAATTATGTACAGAGAACCCCTAGTAACTGTCACAAAAAGCAGATATTTCTGTATTTCAATGGACGTTTCCTGACTGGTCAGCTACAGAGAAAAGATACTTTGTAATTTCAGTAAGTGCTTTAATACAAATTATTTCTTCGAGAAAAGAAGCTTTACTTTTGTTTGAAGGAGCCAAATCAAGCCGTAAAAGTATCGTTCATGTTTTTAATGTTCCCCAGTCTGCTGATCACATAAGTGTTTTCCTCTTATTTACAAATTTTAACTAAAGTTAAAACACAGCTCCCAATAATCATTTACAGTTAGTACAATCCATCCATCTATTTATCTGTATCTGTTTTACATAATTTTACTTTACAAAGCATGATTTTGCAAAAAGTTTTTAAATTTTGAATTCAATATTGTGTTTTATAACTTTAAATTCACCTGTTAAAACTGCTAGATCTACATACTAGATCCACAGACCTCTAATTTTTGTAGAAACTGAATGTACTAGGTTCAGCCTTGAGAATACTACAGATGTCATTAACAGTACATAAGTGATCAACTGTAATATCATATAAAGTTATCCAATCAACTGTACATCAAACAGTAAGTATCAATCTGTATATTTTATGCAATACATATTATTCTAACAATGAACAGTAACCAGCAGACATCTTAGTAGCTGTATATCATCATTAGCATATAGCAGTACAACATCAACAGTAGGTATCCTATCAGCTTTACATCATAGATAATAGTAGTTCTACAAACTGAGTATCATAAACAGTACATATTCTGCCTGCTCTACTACCAACTCTACCTCATTCACAGTATAAGATTTACTAATTATACATGATTTATAGTAGATATCATTCCAAATATACATCCAACCAACTGTACATCATTAACAATACATAAATTACCAGTTGTATATGATTAATAGTAGATATCCTTACAGATGCACATCTTTAACAGTTCACAAGCTACCAATTGACTATAACAAACAACCAATTGTACACAAAATACAAGCTCCATACTATACACAATATGTTAGCACATACAAACATACCATAAATCATTAAAAGCAACATTTTTCCAATTCTACATCACAAAACAGTATAAACTGTACTTTATAATCAGTACATCATCTACATGCTGTGCATCATAAACAATCATACACATACATCATCTGTACATTATAAAAAACATGTTTTAAAAGTTATATATACATCATCTAATCATCATAAGTGGTATCTTTTCTACAAACTGTAGCTCATTAAAAGTACACATACTATCAATCACCTGTATAACACAAAGCATATATATATCCTACCAGTTTTACATCATAAACAGCAGATACATCCAAGTTATTGGAGCTAATTCTATCCATGAGTTTCTGCACAACTTGAGTTGGCAACAGAGCATCTTCTTTGAATGAAGATAAAGTGCAAGTATTGCAAATTTTACACCATTTTAACATGATATAAACCGCATTAAATTGTTCAATCTCAGCCTCTGAAAAGGTTTCATGATTTAAAGCACTGATAAGATCTGAAATGAAAAATCATATCAATACCATGATGTGAAGAACTGCATAAATTCTACATCTTCAATATATTGAAAGTTTTAGAAATATATAGTTATAATTTATTTATAAGCATTTGTACTATATCATCTTACAAATTAAACTGCCTTTATAATGAACAATACTATATCTTAAATTCCAGAAATTACACACTTATCAATCATATTCAAAATATTATCAACTCTTAACAATTCTTTATCATGACTAGTTACAATAACTAAGCTTGCTTGCTAAAACAAATAGTATAAGACATAATGTTCATTTGGACACTATTCAATCACTTGTGAATTGTAGAATATCTAGTTCAACAAAATAAAATGTTATTTTTTTTAAGTGTTATATTCATCTTCAGACTGAAACGTGAAAAATGTTACTAAAGTATTCACAAATTTTTAATGTCAACACCTTTGAAGGCCCTAAAGAGCATTGAACTTTTTGTATTTCTTTGTTAGATAACATATGTAGTGTCTTTAAAAGTAAGATTTAACAGTATAAATATAACTAATTTTTTACTCCTTTTTTTTTTAATTACATTAATTTTTCTTCCCAACATTACTTCAAGTGAACAACAAAGCTAATTAAATGTGACAGTGTCAAATGAGTATTATCAAATAATGTAAAGAAAAAACAGCTTTATTTACAATCTCCTCCAATGTTTGGTGACTCTTGTGAGTTACAGTCCATTAAATCATCCTTGGGACTAAAGTCACCACTATCTGAAGTTGAGAGAAAAGCACAGTGGTTAGAGGTAGATGATGAAGATGGCTGCCTTTCTCTAAGAGTCAAAACTTCAGGTTCTTGCAGATCAAAATCATCATCAAGAAGATCACAACCACCTTGTTCATTCACAGCCACTGGGGGGACTACTGTTAATAACTGTTTTTTATGAGTTTTTGAGGGCTGTAAAAAACAATTATTGAAAAACAGTAATTTTACACCATATATCATAGACTGGTGGAAAAATAAAATAAAACAATTCAGGTTTTAAAAAATGACAAAAAATAGGGAAAACAGTAGCCTTCACTTACATACTCTTTTAACGATTTTTTTCATTTGGATTAGGGTAGAAATTAAGCTTTAAGAATGCTTGGATCAGTCCCTGGGTATGCCATTCAGTTGTATCAGAGCATCAGAAACTAACCTTTTAAACAATGCATTTTTAAACTTTAGATTATTTCAATTTAATATAAAACTAACAGTTTTGATTAACATCCAGAAGTTCCTATTATATAGATATATACTAAAGATCATGATAAAATAAAAGTAATTTTTCCTGTATTTGAGCACAATTGAAAATACATGAATCTTCAAAATGTAGAAAAAACAAATCTATATATCTGCATATGTATTATTATTTCTAATGCATATTTGCAAAATAACTGATTAAGGTGCTATTTACACACACACATTCTGTAAATTGAATACATTTTATTAAATAGAGATTTGTTGACAATGTTATGAATAAGATTATTTGTAGATATGAGTCATATGAGTTAAGCAAAAAAAAAAAAAAATCAGTTAACTTGACTGTACAGAAAAGGTGTCAATTTTACGATGGATTATTATACATTACTGTGAAATCTTGGCTTTAATTAACTGTAGCATTTATTTCTTGCATATTATTTATAAATGCTATTACTAAGATAAACAGAACTAACAACTGTCCTGTAAGAAAAATAAGCTAATCCTGGGGTCTACATGTTATCATTTCATGCACAGTTTGTTCAAATGACAAGTAGTTCCACATATCATATATGTTAAAGATTTATTTTTTATCACACTGTACTGTCAGAGATGATCATAAGACAGGTGAAAACACTGTATTATTAACATGAATACAACAGCAAACAATGGATACAATACTTGTCATTATTATTCTCGGATTTTGAATTCACTTTTCACACTTTTAGTACATAAGGTGAAAATTACTTGTTTAACTGAGAAACTTCAATCAAAAATGTAAAATTATATATATAATGAGTAAGGCCTAAAATTCATATAAAAAAAAGCTCTTACCAAAATACTATTTATATAGATGTATATGTGAGTACAATACTTCATATTATGTCCAATTCATGTTATTTGCATGTGAGAAAAGCAACAGGTTATTGTGAAGAATTGTGTTGAGGTAAGGTACAGTGTATTTGAATAACAATTGTTGAAGTTGATAACAAATTTTTAATCACAAAATTAGCAAAAACACAAACTAATGCTTTTTGTCTTATTTTACTTTCCATTAAAAAATATGTAAAAAACAGTTAAAAACCCGATAAGCAAAGCATTCAAGCTAAAACAATGAATAAATATTTTCAGCTTGTAATTTTTAGGCTGCCATATAAAAACAAATTTTTCACACTGTGTTTATTTTTTGAAGCACAGTAATTTTTCTTTTTAAATACCAGTCAAGTTTTAAAGCTGAAAACAACACTCTGTGAATGCATCACATGAAAAGTGAAAATAATAGCATATGTACATACACTTCTTACTGCAAGTTCCACTAAATATTTTAACACATTCTGTGGAAGGATACTTAGTGCCCAACTTCGAAAATCCTTCTCCAAGCCATCTTCCAGATCATCACCACCTTTGAGTGAATCCAAAAGAAAATCCAGAATAGGTATCAAGCTTTTTTGATACTGTTGTTTTGATAGAATGGTACCCTTCTTCTCTAGTTGATCAATAGCAGGTGGTGCTTTTCTAAACACTTCATCTATCTTCTTCATCATGGACTATCCAGAACAAAATTCAACAAATAAATCTTTTCAATGAACAGTTACTAACAGAAAAAAAAAGTCACCATTAAAGCAGTGTTACGGAATAAATATTTTTCATCATATAACTAATTCAGAAAACACTTTAGTATTGTACTGAAAATTTTTCTGTTTTATATTAAATATTAGAATTTTTTTTGGAATTTTTTTGGCATGTGTGCAATGTTGGACAAAAAGTTAAAAACTTTATTAATTCAGAAAAAAGAACTGAATGAAAAACATTATAAACTAGATGCATTGACAGATAAGTACAATAGTTTTTTAAATAATCCTAAAGTCATAAATAAATCTGATTTCATATTAAGTGATAAACAGATTGATGTTTTAAACAGAGGTTTAAATTTCTCATTTGGTCCAAATAAAGTTTTTAAAAAAAAGATATCATAACTGAAATTGAGACTAACTTGAAAAAATTAAATGAAAAAGTGCATATTTTTAGAAGTGCTTGTTGCACTTTATTAAATTTTAAGTTCAAAAATAATAATAAAAAGAACTTTGAAATTTTGAAAAATTTAAAGGGTTTGTTTGTTTGTTTGAAGTTAAGCACAAAGCTACACAATGGGCTATCTGTGCTCTGCCCACCACGGTTATATCGAAACCCGGTTTCTAGCGTTGTAAGTCCACAGACATACCGCTGTGCTACTGGGGGACAAATTTAAAGGAACAAGATGTTGTCATTTGCAAGGCTGATAAAGGGGACAAACTGTTATTCTTAATAAAAATGATTACAATTCTAAAGTTGAAAGAAGGTCCATATGAGAACATTAAACTTAATCCTATAGATAAACTTCATACAATAAAGAAAAAAATAAGAGTTATTTAACTCTAACACCTTATGAAAAGCAAAGTTTAATTCCCAGTAACTTTATTTTACCTAGATTATATGTCTTGCCTAAAGTTCATAAGATTGGTAATAATTTCAAATCCTATTGTATCCAATATTAAGAGTTCAACTTATAATGTAGCAAAATTTATATCTAAAAATGTTTAAGGGATAAAAATAAATACACAGTTAAGAATTCGTTCGAATTTGTGAAAAGAATTGAGCATATCATTTTATATCAAAAAGATATTTTAGTGTCATTTGATGTTTTGTCAATGTTCATCAAAGTACCTGTGAAAAAAAGCTACTGAATGTTTAGAGAAAAAACTGAAAGAAAATAATAATTCAGTCTTAGAAATAATGGATGTAATTAACATGATACGTGTTGAAAACTCATTTTTCCAAATTAATAGCAAGTTTATAAACAGAACGAGGGTTTAGCTATGGGTTCTCCTTTATCTCCATTATTATGTGATTTATTTATGGACAGTTTTGAAAGAGAAAGCACTAGAAAAAGCAGATAAAAAACCTTAATTTTGGTTAAGGTGTGTAGATGACACATTTTTGATTTGGCAGTATGGTAAAGATGAACTAGCTAATTCTGCTAATTACATTAATAACATTGATAATTCTATGAGATTTAATTATGAAGTTGAGATCAATGGTTGTTTACCTTTTTTGGATGTTTTAGTGAGTAAAAATAAGGATAAATTGGAAACTGCCATTTGTTGTAAACCTTTCTCTGTAATCATTCTGCCACATCAACAATCTCATCACACTACATCTCAAAAAAACCTGTGTTTCTTACTCTTATGTGGACAGGATATTAAAATTATGTTGCAAACAGGATGATATCAATAATGAGTTATTGTTAATTAAGCACATTGCAGTGGAAAGAGGTTTTAATCCAGATGTTGTTGACAGAGCTGTCATAAAACTAAAAAGCAGGGATAAAAATATTAAGTTAAAACCATTTGCTGAAAAAAGTAAGAAAGAATGTTTAGTACTATCATATATAGTGTTTTGGTGTTTTGATAATTGTATAAATAAGTGTTATTTTTTGCAAAACATTACACTCCTGAAGATGATGCAATAATATACGTCAAAAGATGTAGAGTGTATGAAATTGTGTTCCAATTTCATTGGAGTTTTTCACCACTTTTTATCCTGTACAGTAAGTTATTGTATTTTAGTAATTTGGAGACTGGAAACAATCTCATTTTTATAGAATTGTGTAAAAAATAATAATTGTCTTTTTAAAATTGTGAGACTATAAATATTTGGTTTTGTGCCCTTACAAACAATGGAGAGAGGTCATTCAATGATAAAAAATGACAATCAATTTGAGTAAAAACTCTTTACAGACCAATTATTTGTTTTGCAACATTATTAGAGTAGGACTGGTATAATTTAGTCCCAGAATTGTCAATGGGTACATATGGACACCTGTTACTTTTTAGCCCTTAACTGCATTATAATAGCCATTTTTACATTTACGTTCCTAAGTATTAATAGCTCATATGTTGCTCAAACACAGACACTTCAAACAAAAAATCATAACCACTGGATGTTTTTGACCATTATTATTTCTCAGAAATTACAATTAATAACAAAATATAAAACCATGATACAACATGCCCCCAACCACTGACCTAAAATACAGGCTTTTAGCAATAATACATCTGTAGTCTTAATTATATTATGTGCTAACCCATTTCACTGACAGAAACTGCAATAAAACAAAATTATATATATATATCATTAAAACTAATATAAATAGATGATATTTACCTTACTATATCTTATTTACTTTTTACTCCATTTAGAAATTATCTACAGCTGTTTCCAAAAGATTTCAAATTAACCTCTAAGCTCATGAAAGGGGTGACATCCACTGTAATACTTCAGTTTTAAATCATCAGTAGGAGTTTTGTAATGCAAAAGGTAACAGCTAAAGTAATAACTTTCCATAACAACAAAAAAAAAGAATGAGAAACAATAAAATGTATTTATTTCCTTTACTTTAAATATAAAGATTAATTCATTTGCACAGTTAGATAAATTGAAGGCATTCAATCAAGGCAGTTAAAGTTTCAGGGGTAATAACTAAAATTCAGAAGTATATAATTTATATAAGGAAGAAAGGGAGCCCTGTGGCAAATACATTGACAGAAAGTAAATAATCCCAGCTTATAATTACGATTTTGCTAGCTTAATAAGATTGGATATTGCAAAACAAAATAAGCAATTAGTTGAATTTACAGTTTTTAATACCACCAGTTCCAAAAATTTGATGTTTTCAAATTATTTTAGTGGAAATATAAGCAACAGTTCAAACACCACAGACTTGCATCATCTGATGACAAAACCTTGTCGAAACGTTGTACATTTGCTGTCATGTTAAACTTATATTAAATTTTTTCTTCATTACCCATTTAAGCCGTCTCCAGCCATTATTATATGTAACAAAATACTTTTTTTTAGTAATCGTCTCTCACAAACAAATTAAGCAGCCAATGATTCTGTGATAAAGCTGCTCTAACTGTATTAAATCTGTCGAACTACAGAATGTACAAAACTATTTTTTTTTTTTTACACTCATGGCTTATACCACACTACACAATATGAAAGTCTACAGAAAATACAAATAAATTCTAGTTACTGCTTACATAAAGCTACTTATTTTATCTTTCTTTATTCTTACTACCAGTTACTAAAGAAAACAGCTTACTAATAAAAAATATACAGGTGATATTTTTATGCAGAGTTATAGGAACACAAGTGCAATAACAAATGTGTAAGCTCATCAGCCAACAATAACAACAATAAATAAATAAAAAGAGTACACAATTATGAACTATAATAGCAGTCTTATAATTTCAATTGTTTATAACAATGCATTTATAAGAATAATAGTCTCAACCTGCAACATAGTACATAATCAAAAACGTATCCAAAATCTGCTATAAAATCTTGTAAAACTGTAAATCACTTAATGAATTTATTATAACAAGCTATGTGATTCTCTCAAGCAGTGAAGCATACCTCTGTTGACAATAGCTTGTAAATTAAAAATGCATTTAAAAAATAATAATGTTTTAGCATTTTGAACAACTTCCTTGATACCACAAATGTTTGAAATTCTAATTGGACAGTATAACATAAAGAAATCTATACAATGAAACAAGCATCAAATACGTTTTTTTACCTTCACTAGATTTCCAAGGTTTGATGTCCATGGTGAACTGTTTGATAACACCTTCATATTCCACAGGCGTGAGTAGATTTGAATAATCAAACTTGCATTTTCCATCACTGCTGACAACTGGGACACAGACTTTAAAACACAAACTAAATGTATATACATTTCAACACCAGTAGATATGTAGCAATTAGTACACTTGTGTCTTAAATACTTCTTTTCACTCATTCATGATGCATTACCACACATAATTCACTGAAATGTTCACAAGCTTCAAACATTTCTTTATGAAACACTTCATTAATTAAACTATTTTGAAAACCTCCAACACAGTACATATCTTAAACTTTAACAGTATTATATCAATAGAAACAATTAAGAAATCAATCTGACAAATATCACTTTATCAAAAAACATGCTAAAAGTTCACAGTTAGAAAACAGTCTATAGAAGAAACAAAGTAGTTCTTACACAAATTGTATGAACAAAAGTTAAGAACAGGTAGAAAAAGACTGAGAGGAAAGAAATTTCATGATGAAGAACTAATCAACAAGTTGAAGTATTAAAAATAATTAATGACAACGAACAACAAAGAAATTATGTGAAAAGAAATTACTATAAAGAAACAGGAGTGACAAAAGTTAACAGCTTCCTGAATTGAAAATGTATTTCCAATAAATACTCACCTCCTCACACAGAAATGCATGCCTACCTATGAAATATGCATGCCAATAGCCTTGAGGTAACTCCCACCTAAGTTCATCATGCAACAAAAGCCCTACACTAATTGAAGAGCAGCACAACCTCCATAGCAGTAACTCCCCATATGCACTTACACAATTGATAACTTCATTCCTAGACAAGGCAAGGAAAAAAGGTACACCAAAAGTGGGGAGATCAAGTGGTAATATGTGCGAGGTGAGTATCCATTGGAAATGCATTTTCAGATTAGGAAATTGTTAATTATTGAGACGATAATTCACCTCCACACACAGAGTGGTGGAGAAGTCAATGTCAAAATTTACCTAGATGAGATCCCTTCAGAAAGAGCCCAAAGGAAAGTGCATGGAGTGTAACAACTGATGTTAGGAAATCCATAGGGACACACCCATGGGAGACTGCATCTCGTCTTAACCAGGATATACTCTTCGCCTGAGAAAAAAAAGGGAGGATAAGGCAACTGAGCCTGAAGTGTCACAGGAATGTGATTATGACCAACCTGCACGCAAGTGGTCGGTGAGACACTATGTGTAGTGTGGTAAGGGTGTGATCAGACCATATACTGTGTGCTCACCTCGACTCTACTGGACAGCCTCTGGCTTCAGGAGGAAGATACAGTAACTGTATGAAGGGTGACCCATACTAAACTGACAGTGTCACAATGACCCTTCTTCTCATCATATTGCACTAAGCCAAACCAGTGAGGATTCTCCATGGTTCACTACTCCAGCAGTAAGGAATAGTGACAAAGGTCTCTCATGCTCTACTTATAGAAGGGGGGGAGAATTCACAATTGGGAGACCCGAAGAAGTGCCTGGATCCCCATCAGGCCAACAGCTGGAAAGACCATTTACTGGAGACAGTTAAATGGGTAACCTCAAAACCCTATTTTTAAAAGCTGGCAGGTGCAAGCCAAAGAAGTGGGCCAACTCTTCTTTTGTACTGGCTTTTTCAATTGGTATGGTCTGGAACAGACAATTAAGTAAATCTGTATCCCATGAGATACAAGTGGTCTTGTGAAAAACCCTTTCTTGCAGTGAGTACTGGTAGAGCCAGGGCAGATGGGCTGAACACTTTCTGCTATCCTGGCTCGATACAGATTTGGGGAAGTAAGCAGACCCTGGGAGGCAATACTATCCACATGGTAGGATCCTGTTCAACTGAAAGGAAGAGAAATGAAAGGGAAACATATTTATTAATTTCAAAAATGGTGGGTTAACAATGAAGTATGGCAACCAGTTGAAGTTGAAATCCTGAAGAGGAAAAAATCAACCAGACTGTGAATATAATAAGCAACAAACATGTAGGGAATTGTATGCATGCCCTCCTGGAAGACTTCTCCAAGGGCCAGCAAAAATGGGAAGCAAGAATTTGGGAAAGCTGATGAATTGAATGCAAAATAACCTGCAAGCATTAACATCCCAGGAAAAGTTGGCAGACCTATCCAGTAAAGATAGAAGAATAGAGGTCTATGGAAGAAGAAGGGTCCCAGGGTAGGATCAGATTATGATAGGAGCCCTGAAAAGAAAATGTCCATGATAAGTAACAGAAAACAGCCCAAATAGGACACAGGAGTCAAACTGAGTCTGAACAATCACAAAAGTGAGACATAGAAGAAAGGGAGATAGGAGAGAAAGTGCAGTTCCCTTACCAAGTGCAGAAGTCTGAGGAAGAAAACACCAGTAGAGGAGAATATAAGTGCAGTAAAAGAAGGTGCCAGAAGCACCAATTGTATAAACATCCAAAGGAGGGTGATCACAGATAAGAAGGATGAAATAAATCATGTGAGAAAGGTGGTACAATGAACAGGAAGTCAGTGACTCAAATGGTGCACTTGTGAGAGCATGCAAAACCACATCTAGGACACAATCAGGCAATGATGCTAGGCAAAGAGGTCAGTAAAGAAAAATGGAGTACATAATGAAAGACAGAGGATAAAACATTCTATGGTGCCAGGAGAGGCAAAATGTAGTGCCCAATAACCAGCAATGGTGGAGACCAACAAACTAAGGTCAAATATCCAATGAAAAAATGCAGAAAGATAGTTCCCAGTAGGATTTATGGGAAGAAAGAAGTAGCAGATGGACCAATGACAAAAGATCCACCACTTTTGTTCATAGTCAGACAAAATGGAAGGGCAATAGGAATGTGATAAGAAGAAGGCTACGTAATTGGAGAGTCTGATCTGTTAGACTCAGTAGAAGTCATTGTCACTTCAAAATTCATAATAAAAGTTAAAAGTTGTTGAAACAAGGGCCAAGGAAAATTAAAGTCAAAATTTCATTAACAAACACATATCTCATCAAATTTGAGCTCATACGAGATATTTGAACACATCTGTTCAATGCAATAGCGAAAAAGAGAATGAAATTATCACAAGTGCATGGGGGGAATTACTGTGCATGGAGGTTGTGTTGTAAGCATGTAAATTTAGGTGGGAGCTAGCTCAGATTTGGTGGCATGCAAATCTCATAGGCAGATAAGCAAGGAAAATAGCATTTTTGTGTGCGGCGGTGAGTTTTCATCTCGAAAAAAACTTTAAGCAGCCATGAAAAAATGAACTGATGCTAAATATGGGTTGACAAAATACTCTAAAGAAAAAAGTAAGAAATATAACAACATGTATACTGCAAAGAATGTTCAAATTAATACAAAAGAAAAGAAAGGTAGACCACATACAACACAGCAGTATTGAGTTGTCATGTAAGTGAGTGTCAGATTGAAAGAAAGTTACAAGATATATATCAGCTTACAATGATTTTGCTGATACCTGTTCTTACAACATAACATACAAGTTGATTAGAGCTCAGTAATTAGTGAAAGTTGATATCAAGTAATCATTAGGCTCATTAACTAATTGCATTCAATTATTCAGTTACTCTCACAAAAACTTACATGATTAGAATAATTGAAAAAGTAATAATCAGAAACCCTAATTTCAATTAGTTGATTATTTTCATGAGTCATGACACCAATCAAGTTGGAGAATCTTAAATTAATCAAAAATAATACTGATAAATTATAATGACAATATTTTGATTACTTGGAAAGTTAGGATAATCAAAAACAGTAATGTTAATTAGTTAATTATTTTCGTGACATGAATCAATTTGAACATGATTTTGATTAATTGATTATTTCACAGATGCTAAACAATGTAATCAACACCCACAGGGAATTAATTATATCAATTTTGCCAAGTCAAAAGCTGATACCTTCATTTATATCACAAATACTTGAAAATTACTCAACTAAACAGTAACAATTATTTTCATACATAAAATTCTTGATTGGAAAACTACTAAACCTTCATATCATTATTCCAGGGTAAAAAGAATTACAAATGCTGTAAGAAAGTTTAAATCCATGTTTTGGCAAAATGCCTTCATCTGGATGGAATGTGGAGATTTTGGGTTGGTCAAAATACTGACTACTTTTCCCCTCTCTACTTCTCTCTCTTTTTCAAAGCATCATATCACTTGTATCTCCAAATTCTGACTGCATACAACTATTTTGGCAAATCATGACTTGTTCACAAAACTTTAAAATAAAGATAAAATATAAGAAAATGAAATTTTTTAGTGTTATTTGGGCTCAAAAATCTGCAGTCTTACTTGAGATTTTAATTCTGTGTAGTATCTTCAAAATGACTAATGAAATTTATCTAATTAGCTAGCAATGTTTTTAATTTTTTTTTTCTAATCAGTTATTAACGAACTTTATGCAAAATATTGCTTTGCAGCCTTGTGATACTAGTACATACACTAATGCCTTGGAAATATAAAAGTAATGTAAAATGTATGATATTTATATCCCATACTACTGAAATACAGTATATATAGGATTAATCAGAACTGAATTAATATACATGTATATGCATCTGTGAACTTCATAATCTCAACTAATCTATTACAATAACTTAAAAGTCAAACACTAATTATCTTTATCTTCAATACAACCAATAGTGACAACAAATTCCAGGTTGACTAGTCAGTCAAATGATAATAATTTCATATAAAACTTAAATGTTCACATTTTAAGAATACGCTTTCCCAAAAATCTTTTTTTATACAGACATAATTCTCATGACAGATACAATCATAAATTATCCTAGCAGTACACTCAGGTTTTTCTAGTTGGGAGTGCATTTATATGTTACACACTCAGTACAGCCCTTTTAAAAACTAGAATTATTTGTGTTTTTGTTGAATTTCACATATAGCTACTTGAAGGCTATCTACACTAGTCAACACTAATTTTGAAGTGATAGACCAGAGGGAAAGCAGCTAGTCAACACCAACCACTGTCAACTTATTGGCTTCTCTTTACCAGCAAATAGTAGGATTGCCCATTACATTATAATTCTCCCACAACTGAATGGGCAAGCATGTTTCATGACAGGATTCAAACCTGTGACCCACAGAAGGTCCGGCATGTCCAGGGCACTCAACTCGCAATCTGAGGGTCGCGGGTTCGAATCCCTGTCACATCAAACAAACCCACAGATTGCGAGTTGAGTACTCTAGCCTACAAGTCATGCAAAGCCTTAAACTGGAATTACTGAATCATTCAATAATTTTTATGAATAAAGCAAAACGACTGAACATGAAAACACTGTTAGTTCATAAACATCTCAATACCTGAGAATGACTAAGTATATCCAATACTCTGCTTGAATCTCTCATCAAGGCTTCCACTACCTTCTTCCAAACTGACTCCACAAGTTTAACTTTCATTCTACCTTCTCTATTCTGTTGCATGTTCCAGCTTTTGGGTCCAGGCTCAATGGTTGTATGAAGCGGAATGTCAAAACTACTTTTCAGTAAGTTTGTCTCAACATCTCTGATCCACTGCCATTCAACAAGTTCTGTTTGATTAGAAGAAAAAACTTTATTAAACAGTTTTTGTTTATATAATAATTACATGAATAAGAAAATGTATGTGGCTTACTTTTCTAAAAGTGATGTTATACTGTTTTGAAGCTGTTTCCTAAAACTGAGGTTATACACTTTTTTGTAGCAGGTTTTCTAAGAGTTCAAAAATACATTGCTTTGTAGCAGGCTCTCTAAAAGTGGTGATGTACATTGTTTTGTAGAACAAGCTTTCTAAAAGTGGCATACTATAAAATTGTTTTGTGGAACTTACTTTCTAAAACTGATATACTACCATGAAAAAACAGGTGACCATTATGGAGAAAAAAAAGAAAATGAAGTAGAATGGATGCACATTCCAATTCTTTATGATGGAAACAAGAAATTTACTTCCCCTTCCCCTACTAGAACTGTGTCAAACAAGGTAAACTTTGACCAACTCTCCAACAAAGACAACAAGCAGAACAAAGTTGCTTTTGTGTCGATGATTGAAGCAATGCTGATGAGAATAACGAAAGACCTACCACTTATCAAAAAAATTGTGATCTAAAGTGATAATGCAACTTATCAGAATACCATGTTTCCATCACTCCTCCCTATACACACTTATGCTCACAAAAAAGAAATAAAAAGCTTCATACGCACTGAAACTCATGATGACAAACTGATGTTGAAAGCTAACTTTGGGAGAGCTATGCAAATAGTTGTAACCTGGAACAAACAAGGCAACAATTGTAACAACCAACACAAACTGTTATTGGCCTCCAAATCAAAGGGTAGCCTCCCAAGTTGTATAGAAAAGCTTGTGAAATCTGACCATGAAGGAAGATGTCCAGGAAGTGGAAGAGCAGTTGGAAAAAAAAACTGTCAACTGATCCAGTGAGTTCTTTTCTTTTTACCAGATTATTCACAAACTGATGATATTCAAATTGTTTTATAAATGCAAATAGCCAGTCCAATTTCAGTTGTGGAAGCAAGAAACTGAAATAATCAAAAACATCTAACCAATGGAACAGGTTGTACCAATTCTATTTCCATTAAGCTTGGGGAAGCAAATGGGAAAGAGTAAAATTGCAAGAAAACATCTAATTTTATTATAAAGACAAAAAGGAAAAATTCAAAGTAGGAAAAAAAAATAAATCCAATGAGAAGGAAGCAAGCCATATGCTAGAAGAGCTGATTAAAAAATATATGAAGATCTTCTACCTTCAAAACAAGAATAAAATCTGTGTTAGGATCACTAGACTGAAAACCCTTCAACAAAAAGGATCAAGGAAAAGAAATCATGGTTGAGCCCTACTCAAAAAGAAATACATATATGTCTTGGCTGATTTTGTAGCTGGAAACACCAAATCTAAACTCAAAGAGACTTTACAAGCACTAAAGGTCAAATGTCACACTTCATGCCAATGAGACTGAAGGATCTCCATCAGTTAAAGCAATAATGTCAAAGATGAATTAATAGCCGAATAAAAAAACGATGCTTTTTTTTTTTACAGCAGATTCCAATACTAATGCCACCATTAACATATGACACTGATTCGTTTTATCAAATTTATATGAGTTAGTAAGAAACTCGTTCTTAGAAACCTAACACTAGTTATTTTATGAAAACTTATGGCTGTTGTTAGTATAGCAGCTTCAACACTTTGTAAAGTTTCTCATCTTCAACCCTCTGTAATTTTGAACATAAAAAATTTGCAACTGTGTGCATTAGATATATATATTCTAAATTGCAACATCATGAGCTATAAAGCACAACTGCTTTTAACTGTGTCTTTGAATAACCGGATTTAGTCATTTCTTGTCCCACAATGCAGACCAACCACTTTTTCTGCAGTTGAGGCATATATCCAGTGTTAAAAAATTCCGACAATTTTAATACTAAACTGCAAAACAGTATCAGATTTCATTAACAACAGGCTATCACAGTTGAGCAACCATTTTAAATACATTTATGGCAATGGAATTCAAAATATAAAGTTTGTTTCTAACAAGAAAGACATGGTTTTAATGGAATAAACAAGACACTATACAAACATATTAGGTTTGTAAATATGTTTTGATTAATAATATACTTTGTTTTATTTTGAAGGTTATTTTCCTGTGGATTAATTTAAAAAAAACTTAAATTTTTATTCTTAGATAAAATAAACAATAAATAAATAGCATTTTCACAATTTCTAAAAAGAAACAACCTTTAAACCCAGAGAAACAAAAAATAATCTTTTACAATAGCTTGACTTCCTTTTCTCTGGAGTTAAAAAAAAAATCATTCAATCAACAATTATGTGTCACAATAAAATCAAGACAGCACTCTGCACATTAAAAGTTTAAGAACTTCAAAACTTAGCATCATTTCACATGTCTGTGCATTTCACATAATACTTAACATTCATTATATTCAAACATTGTATTTAACACAACAAGAGCCATAGCAAACCAGTTAAACCTTTGTGTGTCTTGTGGTCTGACAATTATAATGAGTATTTCATCTTGCAGCTGGTAACAAGTTAACCCTTTCTAGTCAGGCATCCCTTTTGCGTATGTCACTGGGTCTTATAGGGTTACATTCAAAATCTATTTAAATACCTTTACTATCAATGTTTATCAATGAAATTAGCATTATAATGTAGTTTATAATTCAAAGTTTTACATTATCTAGATTATAATTCCTTTATATCAAAAGAAAACATTAAACAAATACATAAAACTTCAGTTAACCCTTTCTAGTCAGGTATCTCTTTTGCATATGTCACTGGGTTTTATAGGGTTACATTCAAAATCTATTTAAATACCTTAACTATCAATGTTTGTCAATGAAATTAGCATTATAACACAGTTTATAATTCAAAGTTTTACATTATCTAGATTATAATTCCTTTATTTCAAAAGAAACCATTCAAAAAATACATAAAACTTCAGTTTTGTTGTCATGTGACATACAAGCATTCACAATTCTTAACTTTTAGTTTCTATAAGTTGAATAATACTAGACCTTGACTGCATATGTATTTCTAGACAAAATATACATTTATTATGCTATTCACATGTGCTTGTTTCAAAGTCTTTCAGTTCAATATACTGAACACAAAAAATAAATTTTGTCAACCTATGACAGAAGCCATGCCGACTTTCAATAACTTAGACTTGATATTCCCAAACCCCAAGTACTTATTTGTCATATATGTTTATAACCAAAAGAAAGTGCTTATTTTAAATTACAAGCTGCCAATGGTCATTTTGAAATTTTGACAGGCAGCTGTTTCTTCTTCCATATCATTTTTTCTTACCTAGATAGATATTAGTTAGACAGCTAAATTGTACTTGGTTTTATTTTTATATTTTAACGAATTATGTATTAAGTTTTAAAATACATACTTGAAAAATTTATTAATTTGTTTAAATAACCCAAACTTTGCCTCAGTTCACAATGGTTAACTTATTACGTGAGTGCAAAACATTTAGCCAAAGACTTGTGTGTTTCTGCTGAAGATAGGAAACATGCTGGATTTTCCCATTGTGGTGTATCAAGATGAATAATAAATGGTACAGGACAAGTAAGAAAAATAAAAAATAAACTATATATGAAAAAGTAAAGTGAAATTACAAATATTACCAAAGGAAGATATCTTAAACTATTCAACAAACAAATAAAAGGTATGTACATATTTTAATTTCTTAATTTTAATAACTCTATTGCACCGTACATTGATCATAATAGCTACCATTAGTGATATGGTATAGAAAATGAAAAATAAAATAAAAACATTTACGTCAAAAAAATTTTTGATATTCACTGTACTGTACAATAAAAAAATTATTTATAATCTCAACATGAAAATCACCTTGCATTTGGACTAGTCAGAGTTTGAGTGAAACAGACTAAAATAAATTCAGAAACAATATTTTATCAGACCTACTTAATTACAAATATCTTATTCTTTGTGTACGAAATACTTGTAATCTTTAATAAAATCTTACCAATTTTCATGAAGATACATTAAAAAAACTCAGAATTATTGTATGTTTAGTTTCACTTATACATTGTTGTCATTAGCTCATGCATTTTAAGTGGGCCCACCTAAAAGGAATTAAGATAACATTTGTGTTAAATTTCTGTACAACATTACTGCATGTACAAGTATTGAAAATTCTGTACATTATAAGAACTACAAAACATGTCAAGTGCTTCATGCACATGCAACGTACCTGAGTTTATCCCATTTCCTGGATTATCTATCTTTGTACTTCCATTTCTTAAACAGAGTTGACCAATCAGATTTGCTTGCTGAGGAAGAAGATCTTTGTCCTTGGTGTTAATAACATGTGTACTTGATGAAACAGCTAGTGTACCACTAACTGAATATTCACTGTTTGGCAAGAGCCACTCAACAACACCATATCTAAACCATTCTTTCTCACATCCCGAAGAACTGGAAGGTTCCCAGTGAAAAAAAGAAGATCCAAGATGCCCAGGGAGTTGAGTGGGAAGAGAATAATTAGTCATAAATATTGATAACGTACATAGTGAAGAAGAGGACACAGAGTTGCTTGAACCTGACAATGAAAAAATAGATAAAGGATAAAAAAGAAAAGAGTAACATAAGACACTGAAAATGATAGAAGTAACAGAACAAAATCATAATTTTAAGTTATTTGATTTTATGAGATAGATCCATGACTTACAAAAGAAATATTTTTACACTTCTTCACCAGCTGTATTTGTGGAATAACAATGATATACATTTATTGTAAACAACTTGTAGCAAAAAATATGTTACATATTAAGAAAAACAAATCAAACTATTAAATAAAACATATAGAATAATTAGGTGTAGAATGATCACATTACAAGTAGAAAGATGATACCAATCAATACACAAAATATATTATAGCTTAAAAGTATTTTATTACCTTATGATGCAGGGATGATTAGAATATTTTTTGTCATTTCTTTCCTTTAGGTCAATCAGTCAGCTTGACTATTTAAGTTAGCATTTTCCCACACTGAAAAAGTATTTCCAATAGATGCTTACCTTCTCTCACAAAATAGCTTTTCTCAACTAGCATTGCAATCTATTGGTGCAAATTTTCAACACAAGCCATTACCCTTCCACCTCCCACTTCTGCATATCCACATGCAAATGAAGCAGCTCTCCACCAATAGGAGGGCAACACCGCTTCTATTGTAACTAGTGCCCGCTTCACATCTGCACTCGTTAATCACTTCGAAATTGGTCTGAACACCTACACCATATATCATTGGAAGTGGGAAGGCTAGGTGGGAAATGTGGGCATAGATAAGTATCTATTGGAAATACATATTAGTTCATTGTGGGATTCTAGCTATTTTGTGAGAGGAGGTAAAATATTGTATCAGAAGTTAGCATTTTCCTACACTGGTAGAGGGCCAATGAAAAAAAAAGCCCAATAGAGACCAGGAGGTTTGGAACCAAAACAGAAAACATAACACCTCAGTGGGAGGCTGCACCACATCTGATCCAGGAATACTCTTCACTCTTTTATGACAGTGTCGTGAACATAAAAGGTGGAAAAACATGAAGGAATCACAGAATAGGTATGACTGGTGAATGGGACTCCTGGGTGTCGAGTGGCTAGGGCACGACAGACCATAGTGGTAGTGTGACCTCATTTAATACCAGGCGGTATCTGGAATGGTACATCAGATCTGCGGTAGGAAGAGGATCACCTACCACTTCACCTTGAAATGGGAACTGGTGGGGAAGATGAGCTTCCTTACCAAAATCCAAAATCCATCTCCACTTGCACGCATTTCCAACACAACCAACACCGGATCTGCCAGGAACCAACATCCAGCAGATGGTAGGAAGAGGGACTGCAAACCTGGGGTGCATCTCCAGTCCAAAACCTGGTGTCAATGGGCATCTGTCATTCAGTCTGCAGTAGGAGGAGGGATATCAGCCAGTACACGTGAGGATTTACATAGCTGGGCCATATCCAACCAACACTGGGCCCACCAGGAATGCACATCCAGAGAATGATAGGGAGAAGAAACTTCTCAGCCTGAGGGGAAAACTGCAATAATAGATATATATATATTCATATTCGTAACATGGTGGAGTGCTTCAACCAAAACCTGGTGGCATCTCAAATTGTATATCAGGTCCGCAGTAGGAAAGGCGTCACGCCATCTACACGATACTAATCATGACCAGGCCATCTCCAACCACAACCAGACCTACAAGAAATGTACATTCGGAGGATGGTAGGAAGGAATAATGCCAGGATAGGAAAAAACAATCAGTCAGCTATATAGACAGGAGTACAGTGTAGTGTTACAACCAAAACCTGGCAGCATCTAGAATTGTACATCAGGCCCACAGTAGGAAGTGTGATACTCCAACGATACATACAGAATGCCACTGCCCTACTTTCAACTGAGTGGTATGATTTTCAGTGTTGTGTCATTCTAATACCAAAATAAGGCAGTTTAACACAATTTATACATTTAAGATATAAAGAAAAATTAAAATTTGATAAAAATATTTAATTCATCTTTTTGTTTCTTAGTTTTTTTTAGATACTAATTTTTAAAATTACCTTCATAGACTGTATCATACATTTAATAATATATTTGGAATTACATTTTCTTATACACAGTCTGATTACAAATGAAACTACTAGTGTAACATAATCAGGTAGGACATAAATGTAAATTTTCAAAAAAACCAGCACTATTATGACTTCCATATACCATTCTTAATTTTTTTTTGTATAAGGTATTAAGTTTCATTACCTGGTAAGTAAAGGGTATAGAAATCTCTTCCTGGTTTTACTAGACATGACTCAAGCATAAGTTGCATGAGCTTATGTCCTTCTTGGTGGCATTGGTTTAAAGCAACTGTCCTAGAAGAAGATATTGAAGACTTCTATCCAAAAATATGTACAGATAAAAGTGGTGTAGCAAATTTGTCCAACTACTTTTAAGATATTCATACCAGTATATACAGAAATCTATAAAAACATATGACTCCAAAATATTCAAACATAAAAGAAAAAAAAAGAGAGAGAAAAAATAGTTTATAAGATGCGTATAACCCAGCATAATAAAAGTTATAAAGAACTAATAATCTCTTATTAAATATAGGTGTACAGCTGCAAATCAATAAATAAAAAGATAATTACAATATGAAGATACAAGATTAAATGGGTCAAATATTTTGTTAATTTTGAATATCCTCTAAATGCAGACATGGAAAAGAAAAAGAAGATGAAGTGTTAATTTCCTCAACATAATTTTTTTTTCTCAGATGCACTATATATTTAAGTAGATGAAAATACTTTAACTTCTCACTACAGCCTCAATGAATTACACCAACCTCGTAAACCCAGAGTGACCATCAGTTTCCATAATATTACTTTCGTTTTGTGTATCTTCACGAAATTTTACAAGCTTAGTAAACATTACAAGTTTTTCGTAGACAAAAAATTCAGAATTTTTAATGAAGTATTTCTACCAAAAGTTAGTCTGTGATTATATTTTATGATTCCTGTAAAGCATTACAATACAGTTACACCCCTTTAATGACACTTAACTCTCTCAATTAGGGCTCGTTCAATTTGACCAACCACGTGACCACTTTGTACTCATTTAAAGTCTTTATTGATTTGATAAAAACTAAGGTTTAATATAGTGTGCATATCTTTATGAAACTTGGCAGTCTTTAAGTAAACATTATAAGCCTTTCACATCAAAAAAATCATATATTTTAGTGAAGTATTTTAATACGCTAAAAAAAGATTTGTCCGTAAACATATCAAGTATTTCAACACTACTTGTTTTGAATTGTCCGTGTGCAAAATGATTTTCATGTTAAGATTTAAAATATTTCATCTGAAAGTTTTCAAATTTCATTTGAATAACCTCTAAAGCCTCCTAAATAAATATATATCATTTTTGTTATTTTCCCTTAAAACTTTATAGTCTATCTGTTATTTTTTCTATCCTACATCTGTACAGAGTTAAATGATTTTACTGACCTTGTAAACACAATAAAAGAATATGTTATAAATCTAAATTACCCTTTTTTCTTTCTAGAATGACTGCAGATTGTAACAGAAAACTACAGTTGTTTATCTTAAGTAGCTTAAGGTTTGTAACAGTTTACAGCCATTTCTACTTAATTTTATTTTTTATTGCCCTTTGAACCTGTCTAACTAATAATCCCACCATATAAGTTGTAAATCACTTGGAGAACACCTAGCTCATGTAACTGTGTTGAAGGGTGTAACCAACAAGCTGCTTGTGAGCATCCCATGTGAAATTTTTTTCTTTATTATTTTTCATTATCTTACTTAATATAACTTTAAATAACCTAATATTTTTTAATTTTTACATTTTAGTTATTTTTATAACAATAAAAAAATATAAACAAAGATAATATGTGATTATTATAAAAGATAAAGTGATATGAATTTCTAGCCATTGGCATATGCAATTTTACTTATGCAAAACAATTAATATGTATTTTGAATCTGTCAACATCCATTTAAGAAGAATACCACACTATATGGCATCATTTAGTGCACATGTCACGAGGTTTTAGTGGCTTACATTCAAAATTTTATTAAACTACTTTTTGTTTATGTTAAACCAATTAGCATAGTATAAAATCATAGCTAATAAGCCATAGTTTAATAGTATATAAGTTTTAAGTTCTTAATTCTATAAGGCAATATTTAATAAATATTTTACTAGGTTCGCACACGAGCAACTCGAGGGTAATGTAATTCAATAGTGTAGCATGAGCTGCATATTCTCCAAGTGATTTACAACTTATAATGGCACGAATAGTAGTTAGACATGGTTCAAAGTACAAAAAAACAATAAAATTTAAGTATAAGTTGATGTATACTGTTATGAGTTTAAAGGTACTTAGGATAAACGAATGCACTTTCATCTTACAATTTGAAGTCATTATAGAAAGAAAAATAGGGTAATTTAGATTTATTTTGATTTTTATTTTGGTGGTTATGAAGTCAGTCAAATTGACCAACCTAATATAGAGTTAGGGTAGAGAAAATAATATATAAAATATAAACTTTTACTGAAAACAAACATTTGAAATGTATTTAGGAGGTTTTAGAGATTGCACAAATGAAATTTGAGATTTAAGAGATGAGCAAAAGTATTTTTAAACTTAATATGAAAATCACTTTGCAATCAGAGCAGTCAACACTCTGACTCCACATATTCAGAGACAAATCTTTAGTAAAAATACTTAATTTAAAAAAATCAGATTTTTTTGCATAAGAAAGACTTTTAATGTTTACTGCCAAATTTTGTGAAGATACACATACCTTATTAAAAATTATAGTGTGGAAACTCTGATGGTTACTTTGAGGTTACAAAGTCTGTCATATTGACTTAACCCATGTGGAAAGTGTAACAAGTGTGAAGTTTAAAACTTACCTTACTGTCAATTCCCAAGTTTTAGCCCATGATGACTGAAGCTGATCCCAGTAAAAATTTGACTGTGTACTACTGTTCTTCCAATAAGACTGAACAATCACAAAAGACTGAAGACAACACAGTACCCATGGCTTTATCTCATTGCTGGAGTACAAATAGTAAATTACAAAACTCATCAAAATGAATCATATGAAGATATAAACGTATTATGATAGTTTTTTAAAGTTATAGTTTTCTTATACTGAAAATGTATTTTGATAGGTACTTACCTCCCCTCACATATATAGCTATTCTTGTTCAATGCTGCCTTCTATATGCAAAAAATATTTTTGCATGCCACAATCTTTGAAGCTCCCATCCATATTTGAATCAACTGATTAAAATGTGTCTTGCATGCAAATCATCCTGCAACAACCCTCCACCAATAAGAGTGCTACACAATCTCTTGATGCATGTGACTCCCTCTATTCAATTCTACTGAACTATCACTTCAAGTTTTGGCAGAAAATGGAAGCACCAGTTTTCAGTAGGAAGTAAGGGTGGGAAGTGTGAGAAGAAGTAATTACCTATCAGAAATACATTTTCAGTATCAGAAAATTATAACTTCTGATATGGTACATTACCTCAACTCATAGTAGCTAGAATCCCACATTGAAAAGGTGGAGGGACCGGTGGGAGAAAAAGAAAGAAGCATCCTTAGAAACCATCCAAAGGACACCCCCAAAGAGAAGATCCTCATAGTAGAAGATCATAAATGGTAGACTACAACACTTCTGTACCAGATATACTCTTCAACCATTGTGGAAAGATGTCTCGTATATGGGCGGAAAGACAGAGGAGCACATCCAAGTGGGAGAGAACTGTGGCGCGATATGGATCTGAACCATATGATATTTATTGAACTCAATCCCAGAAAACCTAAAAGTGGGTAAGATGAAAAAGATATGCCCCTAGGTGTAGAGTGGCTAGGGCATGACGGACCATACTTAGCAAGTAAACTACATCCAAAACCCATGCCGCTGGGAACTGATATTCACTTGAGGGTAGGATAAGGATTATACCGTCAGTAAGTCAACTACGATCCAAAACCAAGCCACCAGGTACTAACATCCATGTGGCGGTAGGAAAGAGGATCAATATCGCCAGCAAGTCAACTACAATCCACAACCCAAGTGGATGATGAACCGGAGACCAAAATCAAGGGAAGCAATAAAAGATTCAAAAATTTCACGTGGAGGAGGATTGAGAGGTCACTTCTGGGAAGAAAGTGTGTCAGGACTGGAAAGTCAATTAGCAATGATGACAAAGCATCTAGAACACGACCCTCCAGGAGACATGTAAAGTGTATGGGTTCAAAAAAGGAATTCCAGTGTTTACCACAAAGGGAACAAGAATGAGTGTTCCCTTGGTGAGTGATATAAGCCACAACCATCAAAAAGTCACAAAAGGAACAGGATTAGTCATATCCAGACAAGAGGAAGAGAGTAAACTAAAGCACCTTGGACTGGCAGAAGTACCCAGGTGTGAAGGGGATAAGACCTTTCATCTATAGACCACTGTCCTGAAGCCTCATTCTGATCAAACCACACACCCACATATGGAGATGAGCATCAGGGTAGAGAAACAATCCAGAAGAGGGGAAGGAAGTAGTAAACCCAACATCATGGGGGGGGGATATGTTCAACTATCAATACATATAGATGAAGAGGGAAGGATAAAAATTACGAGGAAAACCCAAAGTAAAGGCTCAGATAACAGAAAACTCCTTCAAATGCATTCAAGAAAGAGAATGAATGGTCCTAATGGAGGAGGTGTTTAAAAATATACACCCTAAAGAGACTAGAGTGTGAGGTATGTAACAGGAAAAAGTTATCCAACTGGAAAATCCAACTACCTGGGTTGACTGTGGAAGGAGTACATGAGTATGTTAAGACTACCCCAGTTTGGAAGGAGATAACCAAGTGTAGACATCCAATGAATGGTGCAGGTAAAAATCCCCCAAAATTTGGAAATCTGGTATAATGCAGACCGCTCCACAAAAGACATATGGAACCGAAACAAGTCCAAAGATCAAGGCACAAACTGGTTCCTGAATCTGGTGGTGAAAAACCAAAGATAAGAATGAGTACTATGGGCATTCGCAGTCATGCAGAAATGGCTTACCCAAATATGACCAAAGACTACATATGAAAATGGGGGAAGACCCAAGAAGTGATTGAGGCAGCACCAATCGATCCAGAGTCCAATCAAACATACAAGATGAATGAAGCAAACCCGTAGGTAAGATAGGTAAAGGATGGGAAGGTGCCTAACAAGCAAAATAAATAATGATGATAATATCTCAGAATGAAACAAAAAAGCAACTAAAAAATTGAATATAGCATCACGGATACCCCACGTGATGCTAAATGTATAGAATAGCCCAAAAAATTAGATGCATGGAGAAAAAACTGACCTTAAGTCCCTATTAGCAGTAAATGGTAAACAAACAACAGTGTAGAAGATCCCAAAAGAAAAGAAACCAAGTGTGGAGGGAAAGAACTGAAGATGGCAAACACCCCAATATGGAGGGAAGGAGGAGGAGGCATCCCACAGAAATTCCTAAATATAAGTGGAACACTGAAGAAAGGAGGTGGAAGGTAAACATTAACTGTAGGAGAGTTGATATGGTAAAATGAAGCTAAAAAACTAGGTAGGGATAAAATGGATAGGATTAACAGAGATGCAAATGACATAAAATCATGAAAAACATCTGCTTGATGGTAAGCTACGGCAAAAAAGAATTGAAGCTTGTATAGGGCAAGACATGCAAGTACCCACTTTCAAAAAAAGAGACAAAAAATCATCACGAGAAGGATGATATACTAATAAACGTGTCTAAAAAACTGAGAAAGGCCTAGCAGATTCTGCAGTAAAGGCCTGGAGGGCAATCCAGGATAAGGTGGAGGAAAATTGACAAAATCTAGGTCATCTGAAAATGGAAAGGCAAGCAATATTGGGAGAAGGTAGGGTGGCACCACGGCCCCCAGGGGCCCTCATAAACAAAATTAATGGTAAGAAATATAAATTATAAATTAAACGAAATTAATGGTAAGAAGTATAAACTATAAAGAAAGACAAAAATGAAGCAGTCAATAAAGTGGAAATGTTAAGAAATTGTGCAGTGAAATAAAGATATATATGTGATGTTATGTGTAGAAGATATTTAACCTATTTATTGCTTAACTAGCAAACAAAACCACAGGCCAACCAAAAATAACACACTTTTTAAGCCTAGTCGAACTTAATTATCAATTAACCCAGAAGTAGAACTACAGATAAACTGAAAATAACAAACACATGTTAAGTCTAATTGAAGAGTACAGAACAAAGGATATCACTAAACACTAAAATAAAAATCTTAACCGAACAATATGTATGTACAATATCGGGAGAAGTTTGTGTTGACCCCAGCTCAAGGGGTCCACCCAAGCCAAGTTAATAGGAAGAAGGATAAAAGATAAATAATAACAAAAATGAAATAGACGTGATTGTACAAAATTACGTAAGTATGCAGTAACAATAACATATGTATGTGATGTGATGTATGGAAGAAAAACAATATGGTTAAACTAATGATTGATATACCAGTAAGATGAATTACAGGTAATCCTAAAATAACAAAGACCATGGTAAGCCTAAGCAAATGGTATAGGAGAAAAGATACAGCTAATACTAACTGCTAACCTAATTGCTAACTATGAGTATTGACCAATCTAACAAAACTTATATTATGGAACCCAAATAACTACAGATAACAATATTAACAATAAAATTATTCAAAAACCATAACAGTATAACGTCTTATCTTTCCAAAGTCAGCAGACTGTATTTCAAAATGTGTGAGCCCCAAAACTTGAGGCGAGACCCAACAAAGGTCAGTTCATTGGATGATTAATCTCCCAATGAAGTAAAGCCACTAAATTCCCCATAGATTACTACCACCTGAAACTTGTGTAAATGTGCTGACAGAACATATAACCTCTGATGTGGTAACACAGAATTCTTAATTCAAAATGAATAACCAAACACCACTGTGTTAGTAGAAAGAAAGAAAAAGTTGTTGTAATAAAGTAATAAGTTCCGTAACCAGGTAGAAATATAAAATAATTCCACTTCGGAATAACTCAACAAGTTACAAGCATCATTATTGTAGAATAAATAGTAAATGCGTCAATAGAAATTGATACAAAGATACGGAAAAAAATAATAAAACACTTGAAGGGAGCACAAACTAAACGTTACAACACGAGTACTGCCAAACGAGAAGTGATAGTTCAGTAGAATTGAATAGAGAGTCGTCACATGATGATTTGCATGCAAGACACATTTGAATCAGTCGATTAAAAGATGGGTGGAAGCTTCAAAGCTTGTGGCATGCAAAAACATTTTTTTATGTAGATGGTAGCACTGAATGAGAATAGCTATTTATGTGAGTGGGGGTAATGTACTGTATTGGAATTTATACTGTAACTTTTTGTCATTGTATATTTGTATATCACAGGGTAAAATAAACTAAAATTGTAACATTGTTGATAAATATCTTCACATCCTGTTATTTTACATCCTAAATATGTTATATTTATTTGAACAACATTTTCCTTACCACCTTGACATCACACTAAAATGTCATTCCTATACTGATATTTACAAGTACATGCAGCTTTTAGAATTAAAATAGATTGTTTATGCTTTCACAATTTTGACATGTTTCTCACTCATTTTATGAGATTTAAAAAACGATTAGAATTCTAAGTAATAGTAATAAAAATATTAAGACATGCACAATTTTTCATTTTTAAACAAGCTGGTCAATTATTTTTAGATTACATTGGTGCTTATATTTTAGTTTTTTTAAGTGTTAGTTATCTACACAGAAATGTCTGTTATTAAGTCCAATATTGAAATAAATACTGTTCTGCTTAAACCAAATTCACATTTCAAACTTTGGCTTAACATATTATGTTTTAAATGTAAACACTTTAAAGATGTATAAGTAATACTTTTTATAAAGAAACAAAATAAATAAAAATACTTATAAAAAATTATTGAAATAAAAACCATAGAACATCATATTTCTAGCAGAACATTACTCAAGCTAACAAGTACAATGATGACAGAACAAGCATCAACAGCAATGCTTCTGTGCACATTTTTTATAATTAATCTCACTTCTACATAACATACTAGCTTTAACTGATGTTGATGTCAAAAGCAATCGAGCTTGTGTAAGGATGCTACCAATGAAATTGTGAAAAATCATTTCAAGATGATTCTAATAGAAAAACTTTCCACTCTGTGGAGATGAGTTAACACTTAACCCTTTCAAGACGGGTCACAGGTGAAAGGTCGCATCATCTTTTTTGTTGAATCGCATTCAAAATTTTAATTGAACTACTATTTCATGAATTTATGTCAATAAATTTGGTACCAATCTGTAGATTATAAATCAAATTTGAGTACTGTACATTACTCAATTTCTTAATTTAAAAGTAAATATTAAAAAACACAGATAAACATCAATTTTTGTTTGTCACGTGGTATGTTGAATGCAGCAATGGTTCAAATCAGATGTCTGTGAAGTCAAAATACTAAGTCTATAATTTTGTACAAATTAGAAACTCAAATTACCAATATTGACAAGCTAGAATATAAAATAAGAACATCTTATCTTTTCTATTTGCTAAGATATTGCTCATGTAATAAATCAAACACAGTAGCACCCCACCCACCTCTTTCCATTTTTGTAAAAGCTTCCCTTATATACACTTACTTCTATATATGACATGAATAACCAATTGGAAGCTCAGAATGTCCCTGTCATGGCACTTTTCAGTCATTTTAATGGGCTTGGATGCCATTTCTTTCTTTTGAACCAATATTTCAATGAGGTAGGGTGTGAATTTAGTCTGCTCAAAATTTCATATTTTTTTAGACTGAAATGCAGCTTAGTTATTAAGCTTGATAAATTACAGTGGAATTCTATGGTACTGATGTAGTAATTTATGATTTTTTTGGTTACTCAACTGTATATATAAAAGTTAAAAAAAAATATTTTGTTTCACATTCTCCACATGCAAAATTTTTAAATGCTTAGCAATCTACGTCAAGCAGCAACTGAGTACACAGGTCTTAACTAAAAGAGATAATTGTTTGCTTTACTTTTTTATTTACTGTTCTATGTTTTAAGAAAAATAAGTTTAAG